CTTCTTCCTGTCGGCGCTGCGGCGCCTTGATGGCGACCGCTGCTTGGCGCGCTTCGGCGAGGCGCGCTTCTGCGAGGGGGGGAGGCGACATTCGCACGTTAGCGGTGGTAAAACTGGCCTCTCATGAGCGCCGTGCTCTGATTCCTCCCGCTCCCCCTCGTCCCTTCCCCCTCGTTCCCCCACCCTCCATTCCCATTCCCCCTCCTCCTACTTCCCATCCCCTCCTCCTCGGCCTGCTCCCCCTCCTCCTGCTGCTGCTCTTCCTCCTCCTCCTCCGCGTCATCATCATCATCGTCATCATCACACTCCTCATCTCTACCCTCCGCTCTCCTTTGTCCTCCTCCCTCCTCTCCTCCTCTCTCTGGCCTCTCTCTTTGTCCTCCTCCCTCCTCTCCTCCTCCTCTGGCCTCCTCCCTCCCTCTCTCTGGCCTCTCTCCTTGTCCTCCTCCCTCCTCTCCTCACCCCTCCGCCCCAAAATTCTTCCCCTGCGCTCGGCGCCCCACGGCAGCCCGTCCCGACAACCCAAGACGCCCGCCCGAGAATGGAAGATTTGACACAGCGGGCGACCTTTTGCTCCTCCCTGCTCGCCCCTCCTCCTCGCCCACCTCCTCGGGGAACGAGCCTCCAGAAATTCCCGAAGACAACCGCCAGATCTGATGAAGGCCTGAGCTGTCGTCGTCCGTCGTCGCCGCCGTCGTCGTCGTCGGTCGTCGTCGGTTGGCCGTAGTGCGTCACCGCCGCCGCCGATGTCGACATCGTCGTCCGAGCAAGAATCCACTCAAATCGGCCCCTGGAACCCTCCCGGGGGCCGTCCCAACCACCTTTTCAGGGAGCCCACAAAAAGGACGTACGCGCCCAGCCCCGTACACAAACACGGCGCCCCAATCCGCGAGACTGGCCGCGTGACACGAACGCTCGCGCAATGCGGACTCTCGGAAACAACGTGGATTCATGTACGTGTACGTCCTTCGTTCTCTCCTGAGTCGATCGCGCCGCATCTAGAAGAAGAAAAAACGCCATAAACATGAGCCTTTGGCGCTCCGCGCGGGTTTCTTGGATCTACGCTGGAACTCCCTCCCTGACGCGCGGAGCGCGCCAGGGGCGGCGCCGAAGGCGCTGCCAAGGGGGCCCCAGCGCGGATCCAAAGTCGCGCGGAGCGCCAAAAGTTTATGTTTATGGTGTTTTTTCCTCTTCGAGCATCGCCGATCCATAGCTGATGGATCGGCGACGTCGGCGTGGAGAAAATCGGGCTCCACATCCCGCCGCATCACCGATGCGCCGGCGACAATCAGGGCGCCATCCCCCGGCCTCATCTGCTCGGACCCCGTCTGGGAGGCCTAGAGTTTCGTGTCCTCCTACAGGCGGACTTTGGACGAAACAAAAATCCAAAAACAGTCAAAACATGCTCGAAAATGTAGTCAGAGCATCGCCCCCAGACTATTCGTTTACCCTGTTTGCACAGTCCTCCTCTGGAGGGACACGCCCGACTTCAGCCTCGAGGAACCCTTCCGGGGACCGCCCCGACCACCTCTTCGGGCCGAGCCCAGCCGTGGCCGCGAGCACCCCCGAAGCGACGACACCGCCGCCGCAACTGAAGGGGCCCACAAACACACAAACAAATACACACGAATAAACAGACTCCCCATATTTTCCTCTATCTATCTATCTATCTATCTGTGTATATATATATATATATACTTTGTCTCCCCCCCCCCACCTCACACATTTCCCCATCTTTCCCTGGGCATCGACGCTTCATTGTGTCTGTGTGTCTCTTCCCCTCCTGAGAGCAACCCCCGCCCGGCCTGCGGGCGGATCAGGGCGGCCCAGGGGAGGACTCGGACGGCGGCGCGGCTGCTCGGGGGCGACGACGGGGGCGAGCAGCCTTATGCCGGGCCTGTCCCCCTACAGGAGGATTTTCGACGAAAAATAACAAATACCCCGAAAATGCCCCAAAAAGGTCCAAAAGTACTTTAAAAATAGTCCCCAGACTATTTTTGGACTATTTTTCGACTATTTTGGGGGTATCTTTTATTTTTCGTCGAAAATCCCCCTGTAGGGGGACAGGCCCGACTCAAGAGTAGCCCAGGCAAAGCTTCGCGCTTCGCGCAGGCGCGACGCGCGCATCACCTCGCCCAGGGGAGAATACAGCCCAGGGGAAAGCAAGATAGGCGGCCAGATGCGAACCCTGCCCCTCCCCCTCAAAAAAATCGCGGGGGGTAGGGGGCAGGGTTCGCACGTGGCCCCCCTGCAAGACGTGTGGCCGATTCCGGCGCTTTCTTTCCACCGGCTTCCGCCGCCCTTCCGCCGCCCTTCCGCCGCCCTTCCGCCAGCGAAGGCTGCCTCATTATACTTCCGCCGCCTTCCGCTGGCCTTCCGCAGGCCTGCCGCCGCCCTTCCGCCGCCTTCCGCCGAGGAAGAGATGGCAACTCCTTCGATGCTCGACGGCGAGGCCCTGCCTGGGACGCCCCACGCATCCAGGGGCGCCGATGGTCCGTGCCTTCGGCGAGGCGCCCTGGCAAACACGCGTAATGATCGCCCCTGGGCCATTCGCCCTCGACGTCGCCGCCGACGGCGGGGGACGGCGGCGGCGCCGTCGTCCGTCGTCCGGCGTCGTCGTCCGCCGTCCGCCGAGCGCCCCCCCGTCGTCGCGGGCCAGGGGCTGCCCCGGAGCTCCTGCGGCGATCTCCGCCTCGAGCGCGAGCGCGCCCGGGCGGCCCGCTCTGCGCGCGAGCGCGAGCGCCGCCTCGAGCGCGAGGGGGGCGGGGGCACGCTGGGCCACGCCGCCAGCAGCATCCACGCACGCCACACCCCTCCTCCTCCTCCTCCTCCTCCTCCTCCTCCTCCTCTCCTCCTCCTCTCCTCCTCCTCCTCCTCCTCCTCCTCCTCCTCCCCTCCTCCTCCTCCCTCCTCCTCCTCCTCAGTCGCCACCCAGCTCACGCCAGCCACCGACTGCACCCGACCACCGACACCTGAGCGCGTGCGTCGGGTCGTGGTGGTGGGGGGGGCCCCACACGCTCCACCACGCGCGAGCGCGTGGTGGTGTGTGAGACCTGCGGGAGCGAGGGGGAAGGACGGCGTTCAAGATGGGAGATGAGAGATGGACCAGTTTGGCTATCAGACACACTCGCAGCACACCAGTCCCTGGATGCATGGCTGAAGTGCGGTTCCAGTGTACGGAGTGTCGTTCTTGATGCTCGGCGTCCTCACCCACGAACCACGCACGACCCAACAGGCGACCGACCTGAGACCCGCCCGCGACGAACCGGCAACCCGCCCCGCGACCCAAACTCGACCCGCTCCACGACCCCAACACGACCCACCCGAGACACACCTGCGACCCACCCCGTGATCCAGCCACGTCTCAACGACATTGTTTGCTCCTACCAAAAAATCCGCACATATAGCGCGGTGTCACCCGTTGCATCCTCCTCCTCATTACCATCATCATCATCATCATCATCATCATCATCATCAGCATCATCATCAGCATCATCATCAGTATCAGCATTAGCTTCAGCATCATAATCATCATCACCATCATCATCATCATCATCATCATCATCCTCAGCAGCAGCAGCAGAATCATCGTCATCATCCGCCTCCTCCTCCTCCTCCTCCTTCTCCTCCCTCCCTCCTTTCCTCCTCCTCCTCCTCCTCCTCCTCCTCCTCCCTCCCTCCTTTCCTCCTCCCCCACCTCCTCTTCCTCCTCCTCTTCCTGCTTTTCCTCCCCCTCCTCCTCCTACTGCGATCCAGCGATCTGCGTGTTTGTACGCATCTCAGCTGGACTTCCTCATCGACTTGTTCTTCTTCGATTAGGCCCAGGTGCAGTCACCCACCCTCTGCGCTTGACTACGCTGTCCTGCTCATCCCGCCATCTACCTTACACGCGCGATCACTTCCGTCAAGCCTCCCTCCGAGGATACGAGCTCGGTTTCGAAAGAATTCCGCATAGCTTCCAGGCAACGGCCAGCTCTTCGTAAAACCAGACGTCCTGACGAATATTAATAACTTTACAATGGTTTTCCAACACTCGCTTGCAAGGGCTGAAAAGGCGTTTGAGACATTTGGCTGTCCCCCTCCCCTTTCCCCCTTCCCCAGGGTCCAAAATCCGATTAGAGGGGGGGGGGGGGGACGAGCTCGGCAGCCATCCCGGGGGCTCTCTGGAGCCCCCAAGAAGCCCCAAGGCAGCCCAGCAGGGCCCAGACAGATCGCCAAGACAGTGGTCGAAGAGAGCGCCATGACGGCCCAGGGTGACCCAACAACGATCCAGGATGGCTTCAAGATGGCCCACGAGGCTCCAAAGACAGCCCAAAAGCGCCTCGAAAGTATCGCCGAGAGGGCCCGAAGAGGTCAAAATCATCCCATTCACGGGTAAAAACCTTTAGATTCTACACAGTCGCATTTTACGTTTTGACAGCGAACAAGACGGTCAAAATGGCCCCCAAGATCGTCCCAAGACTGTCAAAAATGCCTTCAAGAAGGCCCCCAGACGGCCCAAGACGGCCCAAAGACAGCCCCAGGGGCCCCCCAAGACGGACCAAGACAGCCCCTGGAGGGCTGCAAGAAGGCCCCAAGAAAGCCCAACAGGGGAAATACGAACTGACATTAGCCTTTCCCGCCGAGATGGCCCTCCGAGCCCCCAGAGGGCCCCGAGGGCCCTCCAAGAGGCCCCCAAAGGCCTCCAAGACGCCCCCAAGCAGCCCCCCACAGGTTCCAACATTCCAGAATGGGGGGCCGAACGGTCATTGACTGTCCCTGGGCGCGTGGCTGCAGTGGTGTTCCGCGGTGAGGGCTGTTGTTGCGTTGGTGTTGTTGTGCCGCTGCGTTGTTGTCGTCGTCCTCGCTCGCGACTCGCCCGCGACCCACCCGGCGATCCACCCCGCGACCCACCCCACGACACACCCCATGACCCACACGCGAACCACCCACACTGGCTTGACGAAAATTATGAGCCTGCGGCGGGGTTGGTGCACAATGTGTTTTCAAACGTCTGCGCCTGCGGCGGGATTTTTCATAGAACCAAAGACAACCGACGACCCCGCCACCCCCTCACTCTTATCCGCAACTGCGGAGTGCTGCATATACAGCTACGGCGTCGGTCTGCCCAGCGTAGGCCTCGATGTCCAGACAGTAGTTCAACACGAATGTCATCTTGTGATCAATGGAAGAGCGTGTTCAACCGCTACTGGCGGAAAACCTGGGGGGGGTCACTGGGGGTTCCCAACCCGTCCCCCCCCTCTCGAAAAACCAGGAAGGGTCACTACCAGTTCGAATCCCCCCCGGCCCCCCCCCCAGTCCATCATGAAAAAAGGGGAGGTCACTACCGGTTCGAGCCCCCCCCCTCGCCGCCGGCAAACGATTCCCGCTCCCCGGGACAGTTGGACTGCGGTAGGGATACTGGGACTTTGGTGGGGACGGCGGTGGAGGGGACAGTGGTGTGAGGACAGTGGGACAGTGGTGCGGACACTGGGACAGTGGTGGCGACGGTGGTGGCGAGGACAGTGGTGAAAGGACAGCGAGACAGTGGTGTGGACAGTGGGGCCAGTGGGACAGGGATGGGGACGGAAGTGGTGGGGACAGTGGTGAAGGCGGTGGTGAGGACGGTGGTGTGACAGTAATACAGTAGGGGGAATGGCGGGGACAGTTGGGACAGTGGGACAGTGGTGGGGACAGTGGGGACACTGGGACAGAGTGGGACAGCGGCGGGGACAGCGGGGACAGTGGGACAGCGGTGGGGACACTGGGGACAGTGGGACAGTGGTAGGAACAGAGGGGACAATGAGGAACGTGGGACCGTGGTGGGACAATGGTGGGGGCAGCGGGGACAATGAGACACTGGTGGGGGCACTGGTGGGGACAGCGGGGACAATGGTAGGAACAGTGGGACAGTGGGACAGCGGTGGGGATTGTGGGACAGTGGTGGGGACGGCGGTGGTGGGGACAATGGTGTGGGGACAATGGGACAGTTGCGGGGACAGTGGGGACAGTGGTACAGTGGTGGGGACAGTGGTGCTGGGGACAACGGTGCTGGGGACAGCGGCGGGGGATGTGGCGCGGACGGTGGTGGGGACCCGGCAGTCGATTGTCCATGGTGAATGGGACGGGGGGGTCCCGAACTGGCAGATCCCCCCCCCACACGGTTCGGTTTTCGGTTTTCTGGAGCGGGAGGTTCAAACTGGCAGTGCGGTAGTGACACCCCCCCCGGTTTTCCGGAGGGGGGGGCCGAGCCGGTAGTGACCCCCCTCTGTTTTCTGGGGGGGGGGGGGGCTCGAACCGGTGACCCCCCCGGTTTTCTGGAGGGGGGGGGGCGGGTTCGAACCGGTAGTGACCCCCCCCCCGGATTTCCCGAGATGGGGGGTAGAGCGGGGGGAGCTGCCGGAAGGAAATGGTGGGGGGGGTCCAGCAGAGGGGAGGAATTTTTCGACGGTGGGGGCGACCCCGGGCTCTGGAGGGAAGGTGCAGGAACTTTCCACCATACAGCGGCGGTGAATCAAAAACTGGTTCCCCTGCTCGGGCGAATCGCGGAAGGAGGGGGCGCCCGCCAAATTGAAACGCGCGGCGGCGGCGCTGGTGATTAGCGCCGACACCAGGCCGACAACTGAAGGGCGACAAGCGCGACAAAAGCGGCGCCGCTTCAGCGGAGGGGGACAGCAGCGCCTCCGATATAGTGGGGCGGTTGGGCCAAAACGGCTACAAATTGAAAAGAAAAAGGAGGCGGGGGAAAGAGGCACCTCGGCTGGCGGGGGTGCCGACATGGCTCCAAACAAAAAAGGAACAGATGGGGAGGAGCGGAAGACGCAGGCGGAAACGGTTCGTCCTTCTCCTTATCCCTCCCTCCCCCCTCCACTGCAACGTCGTACGACGACGACGACGAAAAAGGACGACGACGACGTGGACGACGGACGACAACGCACTGTGGATGCCCTATGAGCGGGAGGGATTGCTGCTGAGGCCCGCTGTAGTCGTCGACGACGACGATGACGATAAGGCCACGTGTAGTCGACGACGAGACGACGACGACAACGACGACGACGATGACGAGGACGATGACGAAGACGACGAAGACGAGGACGACGTGGACGAAGACGACGACGAGGACGACGGACGTCGGACGGCGACGGCGACGATGACGACGACGCACTGCGGATCCCCTTTCGGCAAGGGGTGGGGACTGCGCAGGCCCACTGTGTTCATTGTAGTCGACGACGACGACGTCGACGACGCGACGACGACGGCGGCGATGACGACGTAGTGCGGATGCCGCATGGGGGGGGGCTGCGTAGGTCAGCTGTAGACGACGACGACGACGACGAGGACGACGACGAAAAGGACGATTACGAAGTGGACGAAGAAGACGAGGACGAGGACGAAGGACGACGACGCACTGCGGATGCCCTATGGTCACGGGGGGGGGGGCCTGCGCATGCCCGCTGTAGTGACTTTTATCCGACGTCGACGACGACGACGACGACGACGACGACGACGTCGACAACGAGACGACGACAGCGGCGACGACGACGCACTGCTGATTGCGCCATGGGAAGGGAGGGGCTGCGCAGGCCGGCTGTAGTCGACGACGACGACGACGACGACGACGACGACGACGACGACGATGACGGGGACGAGGACGAGGCGGACGAGGACGAGGACGAGGACGAGGACGATGACGACGGACGGCGGACGGCGGACGGCGACGGCGACAGTGACGGCGACGGCGACAACGACGACAACGACGACGACGAAGACGACGGCGACGAAGACGACGACGACGACGACGACGACGACGACGCCGCTTGGGAGGGGAAAGAATTCACGTCGGATGTACACGACCCCTCTTAGAACTTCCATACGGAGGGCAAACGTTTTGAGACTGCCATGCAGGGGGGTACACGATCCCCTCGGCGTCGCCCGCGACGACCCCCTGGCGCGCGTGATTGAAAAAAATGTGTTTCGCACCCCGCGGGGTCTGTTCATCAACGCCCGGGGGGGAGGGGGGGGGAATCACTTGTTAATCACAAGCTGACATTACGTTGGCGCACTGGTCTGCCAGACCGTCTTGGCTCCAACTCCACGAAAGGCAGTGTCCAGGCGGGCCCGCCATCCATTTTGGAGTAGCCAATGCAGATGTCAAGCTAAACGAACACAGACTGGGCGCGCTGACGATATTTCACACACGATAATCCCGGAGACGAGCTCCTGAACCTGCTGGCTGTCACTTCGCACTCAGAACCGCAAGGGGGGACAAACTTCACCGCCTCCTCCAATCGTAGTGTGCTCCAAAGGTCTGGATTCTTGCCGTCGAAATCGTTTGATGACCATGGTCACGCCCATACATCTGCTAGTCTCTCGGCACACCCCTGAAATGTCTGCATCCGTTCTGCGCTGCTGCTGCCCGAATTGCCTCTATTAATCTCGCCATCTTGCGCTCCATGCTGCGGCGAATTGGTGATCCCAATCTGGTGGTTGTTGTCCACCTTTGCGATGTGCGACTCGCACCGCTTCTGCTCAAGGACTAGAGCATGACACGTCTCCCACCACGCTGCTCGTAGGCACTCCTGCGCTCCTGGGTTGCATCCCTCGCGCCCCACATCTGAAACCACGTCTCTTTGCAAGCTTTCCTGAAGACCGCCTTCATCCTCATCCAAACACGATCCTCGAATCCTCCATCATCCCCGGATGTTTTTTTCTCAGTCCGCTGGCCCTGGAGGTCTCGACTTCTTCCCCGGGGGCAGTTTTCGTCCCAGGTCCATGGTCGACTAATCCCAGAGCCTGAACACGCCCCTCATGTTCCGAAAATAGCCACAGGCAACCCTGTCATCATCATGCTCTGGCGACAGGAAGGAGTCTGGATCCGCGGGCCACTGGTCCCGATCCAGACACACACTGCCTTGCCCCCGGGCAACGAAAGCGGGGCCCTGAGTTCGAAATCGAGGAAAAACGCCCAGATGGAACGGATCCGTTCGCAGGAGGTCGGGCCCTCCTCCTCGGTCCTCGATCCTCACCCGTCTCGAGCGTCGGGCCACCTTGGGAGGCGAGTGGGAGCCACAGATCCGCCACAGCCTGACCCAGGACAGAAGAGCACCCCTCAAGGACATGAGACCCTCCACCGGCCAAAACACTCCAAACCATGAGATCATTCGAGGGCACCCTCCCCCAGGATGCACATGAACATCCAACAAACGCGAAGAACGTTAGGGTGCCATCCGCGAACCGACCTCGATCTCGCACCTCGGTCCGACCGCACTCGTGATGACACCTGCCAGCTCCCCTGGAAGGGGACTCCACAGTGCTCGCTCGACCTCGCCGACTCGGGCGGGAGGGCACAGGCAAGGCATGAGCTCAGCGCCACAGGAGGAGGTGGAGGAGGCGGGGGAGGAAGGAGGAGGCGTGAAGGAGGAGGCGGGGGAGGAAGGAGGAGGAGGAGGAGGCGGGGGAGGCGGCGGAGGAGGAGGAGGAGGAGGAGGAGGGGGACGAGGAGGAGGAGGAGGAGGAGGAGGAGGAGGAGGAGGAGGAGCAGCATCGGAGGCGTCGCCCGGCGGTCCTGGGTGAGCCCCGCTTGGCGGCCGGCGGGCTCCGGCGGCGGCTGGGCGAGCGCCGGGCGGGCGCGGGCTGCTTCTGCCTGCGGCGGCGGGGAAGGAGAGGGCGGGGGAGGTCGGGGTCAGGGTCGGGGTCAGGGTCAGGGGGGCGTCAGGGGGGCGGGGGGCGTCAGGGTGAGGAGGGCGGGGAGGGGGCGGTCGGGGTCAGCGTCATGCCCGCGCGCCCGAGGGCGAGACCATCGAGGGCGCGGGCTGCTTCTGCCTGTGGGGTCAGCGTCATGCCCGCGCGCCCGACGGCGAGATCGAGGGCGCAGGCGGTGGCAAGCGGCAGCGCGCTGTGCACGCGGCGTGCCACGGTCTTTGGGCGCAGCTTGTGCGTCGGCTTCAGCCATGCTGCGCCTGTTGCTCCGCGCTCCTGAGGTCACGCATCAAAAAGGGCTCATCTGCTCCTGCATCCTCCTCCCCCCTCCAGAATGGGGGAGGAGAGATCAATTGTCAAAGAGGGGGGACATCCACGATCGAGGTTCATTGGAGATTTGTCGCACTCTTTGGGACCCTTGGAGAGGGGGCTCCATCCTCTCCCTCTGCGTTCTCCCCTCCCCCCTCTTCCCCTTGAGCTTGGACGATCGAGACTGGCGCACGGAGGATCAAAGTTTTGGGCCTGCCGTCTTGCCCTGGACACCCTGGCTGGATGCTCCTGCACAGTGCCTCGAAGCAGCCGAGCACGGGGAGCACCAGCTCTGGCATCGGTCGGGCGCCTCGGTCTCCCGCTGTCCCCCGCGGCCTCCCATCGCCGCAGCTCCCTGCCGCAGGCTCCCGCCGCCGCTCACGCGGGCGCTGGTTCAACGGTGGGCCGTTGAACGTTCAACGTTCAACGGGCCACCGTTGGGCCGTTCAACGTTCAACGTTCAACGCCCAACGTTCAACGTTCAACGTTCAACGCACTCACGCCCCGTGGGCCGTTCAACGTTGGACGACCGCGGCTTCCCCGTGGCGCGCAGAGATCGCTCGCCAGCATCCGATTCGTGGGCCACCGGCGGCGCCCATCACCTGGAACGCCCGCGCCGGCGGCGCTGCCGCGCCAGCGCGGCGTTCACGCCTGCCGCAAACGGCCTGCCTTCAAGGATCCTATAGAAGTTGGTGGGCTCGTTTTCCACCACCACCACCACCACAAGTAGTAGGGGGAGGGGGTCCTCGTCCTCCTCCTACTCCTCCTCCTCCTCCTCCTCCTCCTCCACCTCCTCCTCCACCTCTTCCCCCCCTCCAACTTACCCTATAGATCAGTTAATTTAAAAAGTTGTCCTTTTCCAATGGAAGTTAACAACTTTTCAAAAAGTTATCAACTTCCCGGAAAGTTTTTTTTTTTTTTTTTTTAAAAAAAAAAAAAAAAAAAAAAAAAAAAAAAAAAAAAAAAAAAAAAAAAAAAAAAAAAAAAAAAAAATTAACAAAACCAATGAAATAGGCCCGATCTGCGCGAAAAAAAAGTTATCAGAAATGACAACTTTTAGTTGTCAAAATGTTAACTTCTGTGTGTCAAAATGTTAACTTTCCGTGCGCCGTTTTTGTTTTTTTGATAACTTTTTTCGCTCCTGCGTCCCGCAGCGCACGCGTTGCGGTTTCGTTTCGGTTTCGTTTCGGTTTCGTTTCGGTTTCGTTTCGGTTTTGTTTCGGTTTTGTTTCGGTTTTGTTTCGGTTTCGTTTCGGTTTTGTTTCGGTTTTGCCTCGGGTTCGGAGTGCGCGCGTCGCTTCGGGCGCTCAAAAGTTTCGCGCGCTCCCATTGGAAAAGGACAACATGTTATCACACACACACACGCACACACATATATATACATATATATATATAGATGTATATATACACGAGGAGAAGGCTAGGGAGGGAGGGAGGTGGGGGAGGGGGGACTGGGGGGGGAGGGGGCGCGCGCGCGTGCGTGTGGGGCGGAGCGGAGCGGGCGTGTGTGGGTTCGTGTGTTGCGTATGTGCTCGCCAGCAGGGGGCCGTCCTAGTGGCGGCGGGGAACGGGGGGAGGGCATAGGCGCCCTCCCCCCTTATCGGCGTCTCGTCCAGAGTCATGCCCTCGCGCGGCTTCTCGACGTCGACGTCGTCCTCGCGCGCGCGCGCCCGCACAACAAAAGAAAGGAACGCCTAAGGACAGAGGGTCGGCGGAATGGCGTAAGCCTTGTAATACGTGCCGTGCGGGAGGTGCTGGGGCGGGGGGAGCGCGAAGGTGGGGGGGGTGGAGGGCGGGGGAGGGAAGGGGGAAAGCCGTCTCTTCCTTTTCCCTGCCCAGGAGGAGGAGGAGGAGGAGGAGGAGGAGGAGGAGGAGGAGGAGGAGGAGGAGAGAGGAGGAGAAGGAGGGGGGGAGGAGAGGAGGGAGGGAGGGAGGAGGAGTCCCGTCTCTTTGTACTGCCCTCCCTCCTCCTCCCTCTTTTTCTTTGCCCTCTCCAGACGCGGGGGAGGAGTCCCGTCCCCCCCCCGTTCCCCCCGTGTCTCTCACCTCCTTCCTCCTTCTCCCCCCTCCCCCTCCTCTGCCCCCCCCCTCTTCCCCTCCTCTGTCCTCCCCCTTCCCCTCTGTCGACCCGTGTAACTGTTGCCACATTTTAAGACGAATCATATCTATATATACCTTCAGAGAGCTCTTTATGTGTATTTGTAAGTCTATGCACTCATAGGTATCTTCAGGGGCCAATATCTGGATACCTTTCGGGTGCTTTGGGGGTATATACAATGATATCAGTGCTGCAGATACCCTTTGTGAGCTATGTCGGGGTACTCTGGGGATACCTTGAAGGATAGAACTGACGATGATGGCGATGATGATTGCCACTTTACCTGCACACTCCAGTGCCTGAGAAGAAGTGCCTAGAGAAAGTGCCCCCAGGGGGGTGGTGCTGCAGCGGCGGCGCCGCTGCTGCTGGAGCCTGCGGTGCCGCTGCTGATGTCCCCCTCCGCCTCAGCCACAGCGTTGAGGACCGTGTGGACCGACTCGGGCTCGGGCCTCGGGGCGTCCTCGGGTCTGACCTTCGGCATCTTCTTCGGCTTGGGCTCGGCCTCGGGCTCGGCTACCTTCGGCCGCTTCTTCGCCTTGGGCTTGGCCGCGGGACGGGCAGAGGCCTTGGGCCTGAGCTTGATCACGAGCAGAGGCTGGGGCACCACCTTCGGCTTGATCACGAGCAGAGGCGCGGTCGCACGCACGGGCGGGAACACTACCTTCGGCTTGGGCACGGGCTGCATGGGAGCACCTTCAAAAGGGGGCATCTCTCCGAGCCGCGCTTTGGCCCAAATGGCTGCGGATGAATGCTGGTATTTACAAGTTGCGTCCCCTTCCGTCTCCTGTCTTCCCTTCCCCCGTCTTCCCTCCTACCCTCCTCTGTCCTCTCCCTCCTCCTCCCTCTCGTCTCCTCTGTTTCTTGGAACCCTGCAGGGTTCCTGCAGAGATCGGCCTCGCGGGGCCCATCCACCAGAATTTCGAGACGCATCCGGCCGCGGCCACGACGCTTCCCTCCCCCCCTCCCTTCACTCCTTCCCGCCGTGTCTACCACAGGTTAGCTCTGCGGGGGGCTCACGCCGAAACGCTGCGCGGGCGGCGAGATCGGCCCCTCGGCACAGCCCTGTCCGAGGGAGGGGGGAGGGCGGGGGCACCTGTCAGGCGAGGCCCCCATAGGATGCAAGACCCTCGGGCGCCCCATTTGTGGCCGCAGCCCCATGGTTCAGAGCGGGTGCCTCTAAGAGGAATATGGTATCCTTTCAGATTACCTTCCAGCAGATGGCTCGGAATGCAAGAACGCACGGGTATCTTAAGCGGAGGAGGGGGGTGAGGAGGAGGACGGTGATGATGATGATGATAGCGATGATGAATATTGTTATGACAAAGGGGGAACACCCGTAAACGTACGTCCCACGGAAAATTATATCCATTCCGACGAAGGCGTTGCCATGAAATGCAATCCCGCTAAATACTTTTCAGCACGCTTCCCCCCTACTGTGTAGGGCGTGTTCCCAACGACACAAGAAGCCAACAACCTTTTACTCTTTGCCATCATATCCTCGCCAGCGTAGCACCACCCAGTACGTGGGTTTTGCCATTGTGCCTGGATGGCACTGCGTGCTAAATAGTGGCTTTTCACAGTGATATCGAACAGCTTGTGGGCATGAGACTCATAGTGGGCAGCGCACACATTCTGAACAACCAGATAATCCCAAATAGCTTGGCTGTATACATCTGCATCACCCCCCTGCAATACATTTACGTTTTTGTTCCGATCTAGAACGCGATCTATTTTGGCGGAAAGCTCCAGGCCAGCAGCGATAGCTTGATGCTTAACATGTGAGTGGTCAGAATGTTTGTCCCAAAGCTTTTGCAATACAGGAATGAAGCATTTTATTTCTTGCGCTTTGCCTCTTAGGCGAATTGGCTCTTTCTTTTTCTTTTTGAACATTGAAATCCGCATGTCTGAATATGTCGTGCCGTAATTCCCATTTCTGTACTCGTGCAGAATCTCGGCGCGCAACAGTTTCATGTTTTGCTCTGGCCTACCAGGCATGACGTCGTGAGTGAGCAAATACATAACACTTCCTGCGAAATACTGATCTGTACCCATATGTTTCACATGCATGACGTCAACGGACATTGCAAAATGAGTCACAAACGTAAAAATGGGGTGTCGATCGGGAAACCTCGCCTCAAAAGAAGCAGTCGAATGGAGATGGCCGATCCACCGCGCTGTCTCGGACAGCTCCCACCATGGAAGGGTAGACGCGTTTGCTGGGCAGAGAGCGCACGGGACATCAGACGAGTGAGAAGGAAGCCCTAAGTCATCAGCCCAATATTTCAAGTCACCTTTCAACATCCACAAGCACCCTCTGTATCCTCCAGCTAACGGTTGCCCTGGTCTCGCTGAACCCGCGGGCCAAACACACTCGAACAAAGCGAGCCATGACTTCATCAAACGCCTCCAGAATGCAAGTTTGGATGCTTTCGGGAACATGGACGCGAACACAGCATATATCATAAAATTGCACTCCAACGTAGAGCCGTGCCCGAGCAAGCTGCTCCACGAGAATATCGTATACGATTTTGCCCATG